GTAGTCGCCGTCAAGGATCGCGCCCCTCTCGGTTGGGCGCTAAGGCTCGCACGCGTTGGTATGGTCGGAACAATACAACCATTTACATTGATGGTATCAGTAGTGTGTTTTGTTTGCAAAATTAATATGCAAAGTATCGCAACCTCATGTGCACAACTGAGATATAAGTAGGTAATAAACACAAAGATGGAAATCCACGGAGTCTTTGTGACTGAGACGAATATTTATGAGTTGGGTGGGACTGGGAAATCCTAAATCCTGATTGAGAAGAATATGCATGACTAGACTATGGGTTGTGTCGGTGATTAAGACTTACCTAACTGCTTTGACGTATGCGGGATTCGATCCTTGGTCACAGAGTTGGAAGACGAGAAAAGTAGGCCTCCTCAAGTTGTTAAATGAAGCGAAGGGTTCATTATTGAGGTGAAACCACGCCCACGCGCGTGTCGCGCGCGTTCATTAATCGACGCGCGCGCATTTTGGTAACTCTATTGGTCGAAGGAGCATTGAGTACGCGCGTACCACCTGTGCGCGCATACCACGGTACTAATCATTTCAGTAATGGGATTCAATTGAGGTCGTTCAATTAGTCTACACGTTGCACAACCGTGCATTGTACATGCACACGTTGTAGTTGCAAACTCCAAGACGTAGCTTAAAAGTTAAACCTTTGGTGAGTTTTATCTTCGCTCGAGCACAAGTCAGCAAATTGCCCCGTACCTGTAACTTTTTTAAAACTAATTTTAGCTCTTATATTATTTTCTTACTTTTCTGTATAGTGAAGTCATTGCTTTTATATTTAAACTGCCATCGTGAAATAATGGTGAGAATGCAAAAGTATCTATTTTCGAGAAGTGCATGATCGGTGGTTGCGTTATGTGAAATACGAGTACATGACGTGTAACTTTGCCCCAAACCATTCTTAATGGTATGCATCTAGTCGTGAACGCCCCCCCCCCAAAAAAAAATGTAGGACTAACCTTCACCTTTTGGCAGTAACCAAATAAAAAAGGGAAGCTTCTAGTTTCGCGGATAAAATATTTATAGCCCGCGATCCAAGCGAAGCCGGAGGGCCAAATAATTCTCCGGAACGCCGCCTGAAAATTCGGTCCTTTTCCCCAGTGTGGAAGATGACGTAGTACCGGCGGGCGAAGTTGGGCAGCGCGACGAGTGACAGAGGCCGGGTGGAAACCGCCGCTTGGCCCGGTAGGGCGAGCAGACGGCGCCCGCTGACGTGGTAGAAGTAAAACGGTAACCTTGGAGTTCGAAGTCTGCTACACTCTGATCTAATTTCCAAAGAGTCAAATTAGGGACTACAAGTTAGTCATGATTCCGAGTGACAATCACTCCAATTGAGGTAAAATTACTTCAGTCAAAACTCGAGTGAAAGTACGATCTGTTCGATTGAGTGTCCCTCGTTTCAGTAGGTACGGTAAGAGTGCATTTTCACTGGAATAGAGAGAATTTAGTTACACATTAATGAAATTACAGAAACATTGTGAGATGCGGATTGTTACTTACTACAGGGTGTTGCAAAAAGAAGGAAACCCACTTTTGACAGGATTTTAACTATTTACTTAAACTTATTTAAACTGTTTTTTTTTTATTAAGTAGTGAAAGTAGCTCTTCAACCATACGTGGTGAAAACATTTTTTAATTTAACTCGTAAGAATAGTGTTATTATGGTAATTTGAATACAAGTCACCAAAACCACTGTTGTCCACGTTTAAGTAAAGTGTAGTGCTTTTTGTCTTCAAATCAAGCTTCGGAGCTCAGTCAAGCGGATAGAATAAACTAAGCCGTCCGTGGCAAACAGGTTTGGCACATGACATTTTTAAACTACCATATCTCAGAGACAGAATTTCCCTTTTTGTAATCATTTTTCGTCACTTATGTTTAAAGATCAATATTTTAATACCATTCAATTGAATTTTTGAAATATGCTCAACAAGTAGGTGAAAATTGCTGTCAAAAGTGGGTTTCCTTCTTTTTGCACCACCCTGTATAGTGGACTCTACTGAGCACAATAATTGCTCTGGGTATTGAACCAAATATATGTTTAAAAGTTATGGCCAATTGAAGACAAGTACCGCTTTTTCATTTTGTCCACGGCGACTGATACTTTGACTGCCGCAATAAGAACAAGGACCGAAACTTGCTTTTATGAAAAAGGCTAGCAAGTAGAGGGCACAGACAGAGCAGTAAAGTAATCATCTAAGAAGTGTATAAGGCCAAAAAAAAAAAGTCTCCGGTTTCTGGTATGCGCGCGCGTCGCCGTAGCCATTCGCGTCGGCAAAATGAAAAAGTTTTTTTTTCAATGAAATATGATGTCTCAAAACCGCCAGACTCACAGGTTTGACTGGAATTCTGCTGCTGCGCAATTTCAACGTGTTTTTAGATGGGGTTATGATCGAGAATAAGCTTTATGTGGCCTCTCTGGACTCCCATATATTTGCACTAAGTTTAGTCGGGCACCATTTGCAGTCATCAGCCGACATTTGAAGCAAAAAAGTCGGGTAAAAAAAAAAAAAAGCCGCGTCGCCGCACCACTTTTTAGACAAGCTCCATACCAGAAACCGGAGACTTTTTTTTTGGCCTAACGAAACAGTTCTTTTCAGGACTATACCATTACTTCCAAAAGGATCAATGACAATTGTTTTTAAAAAATGAACAAAATAAAGAGAAAGATTAAAACATTAAAGAAGCAAAACTACCCTCACCCCAAATCAATTACATTCCTAACAAATGACAATTGGACAGATTGAAAATCGGCACTTATTTTGAATTGGCCATAACGCAATAAAACATTGACCCGATTGGAAAGATGTTTTCCTCGTTGAAAAGCTAACGGACTTTACTCTCGAAATATGAATAGATATTTGCGATGTATTTTTTGAAAGCTGTGAAACCCAATTTATCGATCAACTAAATGTCACTTCAGTCATCTTCAGTCGGATAGAGAGAATTTTCATTCTTTTGAAAAAAAAATTAAGCACATACCCAAAATAATATTTTTGATTTAATATGGAAATATTTGAAAGTGTCGACAATTTTGTGTGCTTATGGGTGTAGAGGAGACCAATAACCTGCTCCCTTAAGGTTTTTTTTTTGGGGGGGGGGGACTAGGGCAGCTTAGAATCGAAATTAACATGTTACAGAATCGCTTTTACAACATCAGACAAGAACAAACACAAACATTTTGCAGTCGAGTATTTCATTCACATTTATTTGCCTCATTGACTCAATATACACACGGTGAGCGACCCGCAAGCGATTTTTGACAGATCCAGTAAGCCCCGCCCCATAATGTTTCGACCAATCACAGTGGTTGTTAATGTCCGACATGCGTGCGCGTACGCATGACGCGCGCGCGCTGCTGGAACACGCAGAGTGGCAATGGAGAGTCGCACGTGATGTTGCTACCCACTAGCGCAGTGGGCGGGGCTTAATGGATGGTCTATTGACGACTGTTCCAAATGTACACCTTTTCAAAATAACTAAGGAACTCCAGCCGTATTCATAAATGTCACCTTTCAAATCCAGAAAAACAATTGAATACAGGCAAACAAAAGTCTAGTACCAATGAACTCATCATGGAAACATCAATCTCGCAACACACGTTATCTTTAACTTAAAGGACAGAGTACATCATGTGTAGCTATCCAAAAAGTAACTGACCAGATTATTGTTAAAAAAAACATACTTGCTTTAAGGATAATAACGGCACTAAAATCCCAGTGAACATTATATTTTTTCTGCCATGCTGTCATTTTGAAGAAAACAATAAAAGGTCATTTCCAAAGATGAGTCAAGTGACGCATTTTTTGGAAATTTTCGTTAGTAGTTGGTTTGTAATTGGGCGAATCCGTGAATGGGTGCGCGCAAGCGTTGACACAACGCACACGCGCGCGCGGTTTTTTTACTATTAATCGAGGGTTCCGTGTGTGACATCGCGTAGCTGCAATCGGCTGAATGAGAACGTGTCCCAGATGCTGATTTTGGGCGCAATTCAAAATATGTCTCGGCAACTTTTCAATTGGAATCGAGATTCTAGAATATTGTTTTCTCGGAATACACATCATTCACTGAGCTGAAAGTACATCAGGTTAGCTGTTAAGCACCCTTCTTGAGATTTTTAGCAATTTTGTTGCTTCAAACGAAACAAATGCACAATTACCAATGATATACTCCATCTTAAGGAGAGAAAAAAGATGCCGAATATAAAAAAGTAACTTTCTAAAATACTGTACAAAGTTAATTGAGCTTCGTTAAACAATGCTTTAATATTAAAAACAAATTACTTTTATGTACAGAAAGTTTCATAAATTAAATAGAAAAAAGTTGGCTCTTAACACAAATTGGCACTGTCAATGTCCAGGAATATTTACAACTTTTCGTTAAAAAAATTATGTAGTAAGTGAAATCGTACGTTTTCTCTTTGTTAAATAAGCATGCGTGCATGCTTCGAAAAAAATTCCAAGAGATATCGTAACATATTTCAAAACATATATCGTAAGGCAGTAGTGGGGATCTTTTATGCTTCGTATACAGTGTTTGAGATTCGTAGGGAATTCTAGTACATACAACACAATTTTAATTAATCAATGTTCTGTTTTATTCATCGATTTCAGCTTATTAAAACATAGGGATGCTTTGATACATCACGTTATTTGTGAGCTAAATGGGGCAGGTAGGTGATTTTTTTACTAAAAGAAAATCGTAGTTTTTGGGGTCCCCCCCCCCCCCCCCAAATGTATAGGGCCTAAAGTCGCAAAGCTTGAACCTGAAGCAAAATACTAAGCGAGCCCGTAGTTTGGAAAACTCCAATGGATTCCTCTGGTGGAAGCCGGTGGAGGGCGCTCTAGCTTACAACGGCAAGGGCGCCCTCTGCCGTTTGTTAACCATGCCCCGTAGGGACTGCAAATTATTAATTAGCTAGTTCTATCCCATTTCGTATTGGAAGAACACGTCTAGTTTTCGTCTTGGGCCATTTCAATCAGTAAGTAAGAGTTGAAAGGTGTGTGAACGGTGGAATTCCAGACAATCTTAAGGCATGTCCATGGCATTGTATCGTTCGACCACTTACAATATTTGATCTATTCTTATCGCATGACAAACAAGGCCTATTTAAAAAGGTGAAACATTAAACCAAAATAGTCACTGCTGAACCTGTTAAGCAAAATACCTTCTGTATCTGGAGAATCAGCCTCTCTTGGAAACATGCATGCATTTTAATCAATTTACCTAAAACCTATTGTTGTTGCCAGGCAAAAAAGTTTCCCAGGTGAACGTTTTAAAGTATGTACATGTACATCACATCAGGCAACGGGTGAAGTGACACGAAGTTGCCGCTGTTGTGATTAGGTCCTCGGCCGACATCCGAGAGAGAAGACAGGGTACCCGTCTTCATCGAGCGTGCATCATGGGAGTCACTTTTGTGCGAAAGTCGCTTAGTTCGATGTTATACATCCGTTCCTCGGCCGAAATCCAAAAGGGAAGACAGGGTACCCGACTTCATTGAGCGGTGCATCAAGTCGCTTAAGTTCAACGTGTGGTTGTTTTTACAAAACATCTCCTTTTCTCTCGCCATCCAAAATTTTAATATTTCAGGAGCGAAATATGTCAATTGACCTAAAATTGTACGATCTTCAATTACGTAGGAGAAAGTCTTTAAAATACTTGAACTTAGTTGTAGAAATGTCTGCACGTTTCTGCTCCTTGGCATAATATCCAATGTTTCACAAAATTTCAGTAGATGGCCGACTTAACAAATTAAAGCCTAATCATATAAATCAGTTTCACATGAGTGGTATTTGATGCATGCTGTATTCCCTCGCCCGTAGCCTCAGGTTGGCCAGACTTGGCCCGATCCCCAGCCCAACGCCGACTCCGGGAGCGCTGTCGGCGTTGACCATGCACGGGTTCATGAGCGTGGTGGGCGCGCTGCCGGGGGCCATGCTGACGGTGCCCGCTAGCCGGCTGTACGTGGTGGGGTTCCACGAGGCGAAATCGGCCGGGTTGGTGACGGGGCAGGGACGGGCGGCCACGGGCTGCTCCACGCTGACGCCGTTCACATTGCCCGCGCTGCGTCGAGCCGAGGACTTGGCCGCCTGGTGGCTGCGCTCGTTGCGACGGAACTTGGCTCGCCGGTTTTGGAACCATACCTGAAGTGAAAAAAAGAGGAAACGGACAAGAATCTGATCATTTAAAACGAAACACACACACTTCAAAATGTAAGAACATATTGCATGGCATGACCGACAGTGGACTTCTTGCCCAAATTATCAACTGCCAACCACATTATAGATCGGTTTTAAATTGAACCTGAATTGAGATACATGTAATTCCATGCCTGCATGTATTCTGGACTCAAAGGGCCAGCCCGTTGTCGTGTATTAAACTGACTGGGACATTGACTGAACTGACTGACTGAGGTCCAGCTCAAGTACGCAAACCTATAGTCTTGTTACGATGCCAGAAATTCTCCCTTTTTTGCACCTTTTTGTTCGTTTTCAGGTTGAAACTTTATTCTTTTTGAGTCACAAGATGTTCGCCAGCCGTTCGTCGTGTTGTACCGAACTCTCGAATCACAAAGTGAAACCAAACTTAAAGGGCATATCATTTGCATTTACCTACAGACATATCCAAAAAAGCTTACTTGGATTAAAGATCGTACTGGTAACTTAAAACACCCCGTGAAATTATTCCGTCTGGTTTGCTTAAGAAATCAAGAAATGTAGGTGATTTCCAACGATCAGTCAGTTGACTTTAGCCTAATCGTGTTTCGTGACCAAAATGTTGTGCATGGGTATTCAATGTTTTCTCGAAAAGTGTCACTGAGCTGAAAGTTCAACAGGTTGGGTTTTGAACATTCTTCTTTGGATTTTGAGTGTTATTATTGGAAACCAACAAATACACGAAAAGCAAATGATGATTATGTCTTTAACGAGCGTAAGCTTGCGCCACACAACAACGTAATATCCAAACCTAAAGTCTAGAGAGATACAAAGTGAAAAGACAACTCTCTTGTCTTACAGCCACGAAGGATCATTTACATTCACCCAGAAAAAAAAGTACTTAACGATTAAATGACAGACACCTTGCTAAATAAGTCCAAGTGAAGATAGGACGGGTATAAAATACCCCGTTAAATTACGCCTGAAATGGTATCGTTTGGAAGAAAATCATTGATGGTGATTAAAAAAAACTGTGCATGCCTGCGGACTTTTTACGTGCGTTAGCGACGGAATCGAGTTTCGAGACCGACGATTTCGCATATTTCCACTGTTTTCTCAATAACCACTGGTCTGAACTCAACAGGTTTGGTATTGCACCCTATAGGATTTTGAGCACTTAAGTCTTCAGGATTTTGCGCAAAAAGCAAATGATCATAATACCTTTAATCGTTCAAAATTTTGCCGTGTTTTTCGCATCTTTTACCCATCTCATGCACGAAGCTTGGCCAGGTGTCTGGTGTAAAATCAAGGTGTCCCTTCATAATTAGTATACCCGTTATCCCACTACATGTAAATGACATTTACCATTAACTGAGACTTGTGTTTCTGGGCCTGGAAGATACTTGCAACATTCGGCTATTCTTACGTGATAACGCAGCAACGGCAAAGGGGCGTCGTTGCTTTGAGCTTGCAAATAGCGAGAACACTATACAACCATGTTGAAAAATTAGGTTAACCAACAAATAAACAAGAAAACTCAATATAAATGAACCAAGAATCTTTCACAAGACCTACAATACCCTCAGAGAACGCTCCATCTCTTGCCAGTGGTCAGAAACCACGGAATTCACAGCACAGATCGATAAATTACATCGGAAGTTAATATAAAGAGAGCCGTGGAAATCACTGGAGTTGTTTTTCGGTTTCTCCCCAACTGCCGGCCCCCTTGTCCGCTCCGGGTCTGGTAGAGTCAAACACCCCCTCGGGAATGACAATAACTCATAAACAAGGATCGTAAATATGAGCCAGAAATCAGGTCGCGTAGCCACGTTACACGTCCCAAAAGAGCTCATAAAAGAAAAAAACTGTACCTTGACCCAGAAATGGGGGATTAGTTTTTGTCGTGCTTCGCAATCCCACATGAAGGATCGCTGTAATTAGAGAGAACTACGCGGGCAAGATGTCTGGGTCCCAATAAAAGGCTGGCTTCTATTTGTCACTGTCTGCTTTGATGATCGTTGCATTTTGTGTCTGTACAAGTCATAATGCCTGATTTTATACATGTATTTGTGAACTGTATCAAATTTAATAGGCCATACCTGTGACAATGTTGTAGCCGATGGCAAGATTTCAGGGCCCAATTTTATGTAGCATTATTGCTATAAAGCAAACTTGTCTTGCTGGCAAGGTGAGGATGGATTCCGCCCTTTCTGATCCCGTACATTTATACAATGACCAACTGACGTGAAACTTGGTATGTTTGTAGAACATAATGTAAAGTCTAAGCTTTAGATTATGTAAAGCAAGCATTTTGTAAACATGATCATTAATATTCCATGTATGACAATGTGCGAATGGATGTGTTTTCCTGAACACGATCAACGGAGTACAAACACTTTATAGGGGTAGCCCAATTCGAAAATTAGACATTTTGCGCGAACTCTGTGCCAATTTTTAGCTGCGGGATAGCAGCTCAACAAATCATCATGTATCTCCGTTAGTTAGTTAGTAACAAACCTTGACATTGTGTATTGCTGCGATCCTACATATTTTGACCGATTTCAACCAAACTTTGTCAAAAGTATCAGTGCAGCCCCAACATGTCACATGACCAAACTGGGGTCATAGATCATCATGGGGTCACTGGGGTCATAAACCTGATTTTGTTTTTACTCAAAACACTACTCCTTCAAGAAATTACATGGCACAATCACGTGACTCATGCATGAACACCACGTTTGTTTATGGTGTAAATCGAGGACGTTCCTCTTCCCTTTTCCTTTGTTTGTATATACTAACTTTTTCGCAACAGCTCTCATTGGTTTTGTACACGTTTTCAATCGAGGTCGTCCTCGATTTGGTTGCTGTCCTCGATTCAGCGATGACGCTGCACGTGTGTGTCCTCGATTTACACCATAAACCTACTCACGAATTCGTTGGCCCGCAGCTTCGAGATCCGATCGAGTTTATTTTTCGTGAAGTTTCGGTCCAAACGACCACAAGGCATTAGTAGTGCACAAGGTTTGGTAAAAAGACAATGGCGCGGCGATGATGTCGGGAAAAGTGTACGGAGGCGGGTGGATGCCGCCCCTGCCCTTGTAGAAAAAACAAACAAAATAGTTTTGCAGAGATTAGTTTTACCCACCTGTACTCTAGCCTCGCTCAGGTCCACTTTCCTCGCCAGTTCCTCCCGTAAGAACGCGTCCGGGTAGTGGGTCCGTTCGAAGATGCGCTCCAACGCGTCGAGCTGCGCCGTGTTGAACGTCGTCCGGTTACGTCGTTGCTTCTTCCGCTGCTTGACCTGGGCCGGCGTTAATCCCTCCTCCGATCCCCCTGAAGTGAAAAGTGAAGGGGAAAAAATCAATGTTCTTATCCACAATAATTACAGGGCCAGCCACTTTTGGAAATCAGGGAAAACCTTGAAAACGAATTTCTATTTTACCAGTCAGGGAAAACTCGGGGAATTTGGACAACGCCAAAAATCGGGGAAAACACAGGGAATTAGGCAGTGACCCAGAAGGGGAAGGTTTTTGCCAGTTTGGCGTATGTGCGTCTTTTGCCATGTGTCCAAGTTGTGCCCATTGACTGACTTGCAATATAGCTGTAACTGTAAGGGGAGAAGGGAGACCATCGCTTGTCAAAAAGTTGCCTGTGTATTATCAGTATCTTTTATCTTTGCAGTAACCACGTCTTTGACTTCCCAGCAACGTCGTTAAAGTGAAAATATTTCTCATGGAATTTAGAAATTTCTCAGGGAAATCTGTGGGAAAACTCAGGGAATTCTGTTTTCTTAGAGTGCTGTGCCGTAGTCGTGCATGAGTCGTATGATGGCTGCCTATAATGCGCCTTAAATTATTAACATCCTTTCGTCTGGACCACATTGTAGCTGCGTCCTTCGCAATTCAGCTTCTCAGCTGCGAGTATAAGGATGATTAAGCCCCCAAATTATTATGTACAATGACTTGTATCAACGGTCATATGACAGCTGCATAGTTAAAACTAGCCAAATTTTGGAAATCAAATTTGTATCGCAATCATCTACCAATTACAATAATTATTAAAAGAGCAGTATACTATTCAGTATAACTCGAGTCACATTTCTCAACATAAATTTATGACACACGTTTAAATTTCGCAAGTGGAAAGATTTAATTATTGGTTCCATTTGTGGTGTCACTTACAATTCAAGAACAACTCAGTTACATGGTAAATTCAGCTTAAGCCTAATAATCCCATTTTGCTAACCTCCTGCAACTTGTCGGCTATCTTGAAGGGTGTCCTTTCTTTCCTAAATCTTGGAATCAATCATTGACCAAATCTTAATCGATTTCAATTCACTATCCCATCACCGCACAATCCCAAACGCATCTTGAAAATATTTTTGTCCGGGTTATTGTAGGCTACGATTCGGGACCTTTAAAGTTCCACCCTGAAAAATTGACTTCGTCATGGCATAACCAGATGGATCTGTCAGGCTTTACCAGCTCGCCGGCGGACCGTGGGCTAATCCCGACCAAATCTACCGCGACCCCCGGTTGATCCGGTATCGGCGTTTGATAGAACACCGACAAACGTCGCGGAGGCTGTAGTAATCCCCCACCGCGACTCGGCAAGAATTGGACCGGGGCAGAACGGCAGACAGACCCACGAGGGGCCGCCGCTGGCTACGCGCTTGTGTCATACGCCAGCGCGTGGTTATTGAACTCCCATCGACCACAGTGGGGGAAAAATGATCCAGGATTTTTTTTAAAAAATTCAAAGTTGGAAATAGATCAAACTTAGAAGTTAATGGTTATTAATTAGAAAGCTGTTTGATTATAACGGGTTTTTAATTAATACTAACGAATTCATGCCGATATAGCACAAAGAATTTAAATTTGCTTATCAATATTTTCTGCACAGCACCAAAAAGGTGTGGGTTCTTTCAGCAAAACGAACACAATTCACACACATCCCTTTGTGAATTGTTTTCGTTTTGCTGAAAGAACACTTACCTTTTTGTGATCCGTGGACAGAACGGCCCTAAAACGGTGGTTGTATTTCAAATTCCGTAACTTGAAAAGTACGAGTGATTTGAATGATTCTTGTACTAAAAGAAAGCTTATGAATTGGGCTTTCATATCCTAGATTTTGAAAGTGCTACATGCAGAACTTCACTACAAATACAAAATGCTCCCGACATTTGGGTTTCGTTTTTTTTTTACTCGCCATTTACATCCCTGCTTTGAACGGTCATAAAATGATAGTGGACCTTTAACTCCTCAGAAACGTTTATGTCGTAATAAAGATCATTGTGGGGGATACGTGGTATATGTCAAAAGCGGCACCCACAGCCCAAGATCTTGCACTAATGTCTGGATACTAGGAAAGCCCCAACAAAAATATGTGCCTGGCAGAAAAAAATAAAGTTGTTTCATAACAAATTGTATTAAAGTTATGTAGGATCATTTGCTTCTTTTGCGTTTTGTGTTTCCAATAATAACACCACTCAAAATGCAAAGAAAAATGTTCAAAGCCTACATTGAAGTTTCAGCTCAGTGATATTACACTTTTTTGAGAAAACTGTGTAAAACTATGCATAGCCGTTTTCGTCCACAGCACCTTATATTTCCAAAAATCAGTCAATTATTGACTGATCGTTGGAAATCACCTACATTTCTTGATTTCTTCTAAATGACAGCAAGCTAGACGGAATAATTCAACGGAGTGTTTTGTACCAGTACGCTCCTTCATCTAACTTTAAAGTAAGCTCTGTGATGGTAATTCGGTAGATTACTTTGGGATAAATGTAAAAGATCATGCCTTTAATTAACGGCCTATATCCAGTGGCGTAGCTAGGATTTTTTTTAGTGGGGTGGGGGTGGGTGGGCACAGAGGGGCATCAGAATATCATGGGGGCACATATCGCAAACGTCCTGCAGTTTTCCTGCAGTTGGGCCCCATAGGCCTAATGATATCCATTGACATAAGAAGTTGTAAACAGTATGCCTTTGGGTAACTGAAAAAAATGGTTGCCCGGAAGGAAAATGGGGATCATCAGTACTTTGGTGGGGGGGGGGGGGGGGGAGGGGGGGGGGGGCCGGGGGCACGGAAAATTGGTGGGGGCAATTTTCCCCTACCTGCCTTGATTGGCAACCGTAGCCTTTCATTCTGTGACAAGTGACAACACAAAAACCATAATTGAAAAGTGGCGCAAGCCTGTAAATAGACCCTTTCATAAAATTGGTCACTGCTCAGTCAACCGTGAATGTAATGACATCAGCAGGGTGTGGTTTTAAAGAGGAGATTCAACCCTAACAGAAGAAATCTCCCTTTGATTCACATGTGCCCTACTTCTGTTGCAATTAGCAATAATATCTCGGTTTCGGTTTTTTTGATCCAACCTGTATAAGCATAAGTAATATAAAGCCTTTGTGCGTTCATTAATAAATTAAAATAACGAAGAACAGCCTCGTAGACAACCACAACGCATACGATCAATTGGCATAACTTGTATGCTCTAAAGTCATGTTTACCTGGAAAACTACCAACCAAAATTAAAGACAAAAATCTTGGTCAAAGTAAAACAGGACTGGTACAATTTGTGAAATTATTCTGCCTGAAATTGTATCGTTTGGAAAAAAACAAACATTGAAGGCATAGTTTCAAAATGGGACTAGGCCTACTGTTTGTTAATACGCGCATTAGCAATAGAATCCAGTTATGAGACCCACAAATCGTACATTATGTTTTCTTAAGCTGTGTAACAGCTACTGGACTAAACGTTCATCAGATTATAGTTGTGTTATGTCCCACGATTATATTTCTCTCCTGTATAACACGATCACTTCGGAAACACTGCCTCAGCGAAATACAAAAACGATTCACCTTCACGGTGACATTGAGCAGACGCGACGGGCGCTCAGCTACCGTGCGTCAGCCAGACGCCCCCCGGTATATCATCCCAGGCCCCGCCGCTAAGTACCCTCGTGAAACTGGGACTTTACGGGGTTGTAAACGTCAGTTCTCTCGTAACGCAAGTTTTTAAATGCCAAAACCAAAAGATAATACGGTCATGCAAACGTGAAGTCTTTATCCCAGTACAAAAAAATCCAGATCGTTATAAAAAGTGATTGGTTGCAGTAACCGCTGCTATATCAGATTCGAATCAGCCAGCCGACCCCAGCACTGTTTCATGGTCGAGTGGTAAGACGTCTGCACTAGTAAAACCAGAAGTTCGTGGGTTCGAGTCCCACCAAGTGATTTTCTGAATTTCATTCTCGCAATCCCTCCGACAACACCGTAAACTTGTGAAATAAGGTCGGTGAAGGGTAAATCCCAATATTGAAAGTTGGTGGGAAATGCTGGGCAATCATATTCCACTGGACATTGTTGATATTTTTTTTACCAGCATTGCGGCACGAAATTTATCAACATTATGCCCATTTTTCATTGGGTTTTAGCTTGCTAACGTAACCTTTAATATTTGGTTCACTAACGACGTGCTCTATAGTATTAGTTACTCAGCTTGATGTTCAGTTGATACAACTTATTTTTCTACAACTTACAATCCTTGTTGAAAATACTCAGTTTCGGTTGAAATCAATACACCATCCGCTTTAACCGTTGCATTATTCATATCCCAGAATACATGTATTGTGAATTATATACTTTCGTCTGTCACAACAACCGTTCTTTTCTGCATTCTCTTGGATTCTCTTTCTAGTCAAAACCTAAAGTTCGTTCCTTTCCAATAATAACACCACTCAAAATCCAAAGAAGAATGGTCAAAACCTAACCTGTTGAAGTTTCAGCTCAGTGGGTATTACACTTCTCGAGAAAACTGTGAAAAACCATGCACAACTTTTGATCACGAAACACCATTTCGTCCATCGCACTCTTGATTTCCAAAAATCAGTCAATTGACTGATTGTTGGTAATCACCTGTATTTATTTATGTCTTCTAAATGAAAGCAAGCAGACGGAATAATTTCACGGGCTGTTTAGTACCAGTGCGATCTTTAATCCAGGTCAACTTTTTGATAAATATTCGGCATTGATTAACAGTTACTTTTGGGGTATATCTGGAAATACTAAATGTCAGCAAAACCACGATGAAGGTCGTAAGTAATATAGACCTTGAACCATTTCGCTCTCTGGCGTAAGTTCAGCCCCTTCTGATATGACACGGGAAGTCTGGATATGCTTCTGTGAAGGTCATCGCACTCAGACCACTTCTTACGAGTCCAATTTACAGCCGTCGAAACACAGACCAGGTCGGTGTCTGTGACAGACCATGGAGTAAAGAAACATAACACTTTTATAAAATCGAAAACGTGCAATGTCAGCGCAGTATGCAGAACTCTCTTGCCTTGCCGATGTTTTTTTTTTTTTCGTGTGTATAAGGCAGAAATCTCAAGCGAGTTTTCTGCTGTCGTTGATTGTGAAAATGGATCCTTGGGTTTTTTTTCTTCAAATTAATCTTCACTCAAAACTTTTTTTTCAGATTTGACAAGAAAACAGATTTTTTTTTTATTGCCTTGGCATTGAAGGTTAACCATGTGTAAATAAAATTAGTCAAGAGTCAGGACCAACAATCGAAAGTGAATGAAATGTGGTCAAAGCTAGCTAAAACGATTGACAAGTATATTCCAAAGTGACTAGATTCCATTTTCAGGTCAGTTCTCAAAGACAATTAAAACGGTTTGGACCAAAGATTAAGATCTTCCAAACAAAAATGACACAAACCAGAACTAATTTCATCCATTGAACGTTATCCAGCTGGAAACAAGATCTATGTTAGATCGATTAGAGCCCCTCTAACGGATAACAAGTGGAAAAGCCATTTAGTGAAAAGACCGAGAATATGAGTTGTTCACCGGGTTACGGAGGGGCAAATTGAACCGGCTATCGCGTCGTCGCCCCCGCCACTTCTTCGCGTGCTGCTCGCTGGCCAACTCCGTTAGAATTCAATCATTGCACAATTTCCTTGAATCTAAAGTGGGCAAGAATTATCTCTTCTGATCTTCACTGGTTAATTTGCACGCGTCCATTGATGCATCGGACCGTTTTTGCACTTAAGACTTGAAATTTGGAATTGAAAAATGCAACTGTTACTTGGAGTGTCATAGCCCTTTGCACGGAATGCCATAATTAAAGCCACGTAATTATGATTATTCGCAATAACCTGGAAAGTACTTATACCGATTGAATGACAGAAAACCTTGATGCAAGATAGGACTTGTATCAAATACCCTGTAAAATTATTCCGTCTGAAATGTTATCGTTTTGTACGGGGGAAAAAAAGGTCGTTCAAAAAAAGGTCGTTCAAAAAAAGGTCGTTCAAAATAGGGTTCACGCGTGTACATTTTTACGTGTGTTACCGACGAGACACCCAAAAGTGCATGTGTTTCCTCCGTTTTCTCAAAATGTACAGTGGTCACTGAGCTGTAACTTCAGCAGGCCAGTTGTTAGTTATGTACCCTACCTAAGAAGTTGGGCAATTTTGTTGATTCATCCGCAGAAGAAAAAAATGCACAAAGAGTAAATGATGTGCCAAAATCAAGGCTGCCCTTTCAGGGAATGTTTCTCGTCAATATGGTTTGCAGCTATTACACATTCGATATATAGCTGAATCTTGCAAGCGTAGGCACAATGTGTTCTACTATAAGCACATAACTGCATTATTATTGTATTATATTATATATTAAAATAATTTTTTTTAAACCATATTTGTAGTGATTATATAGCACTTTCCATCGATTCAACAATTTCAAAGCGCTTTACAATTATTCCCCCGTTCATCAGGCCACGAGACCACGCGGCAGCCGATATCTACGCATTCGCCCTCTACCCTCACAAGGTACCCATATCTACTCCTGGGCGGAGAGAGGCAATTGTAGTTAAGTGTCTTGCCCAAGGGCACGATGTTCCTGGCAGGGGTCGAACCCACGCACCATCCGTGAGCCAGACACCGTAACCACTGCACCATGGCGTTCACCAACCAAAATTAATATCCTACGATGTGTTAGCTGCATGGTTCTCGGCCAGCTTCTGTCCAGCAGAACCACGAAATTAGGCACTGATTTGGGGAACAACCCTCTTTTCCGTTGTTGTACAATGTTTTTGCCAAAGATTGGTCAAAATTTCAACTGCTAGCAAAATATCGAAAGCCATTTTTTTTTCGCACAGTGTGGTAAAATAATTGTAATCAAATTTACAAAACAAAAATAGGTATACACTCTAAAAAGCACCGGTCAGATATTGGCCCAGATCCCAGTTCTATTTAGCCTGACCCTATATACTTTTCAGGGTCAAAACGGACACATTTCCGGGTCAAAATTTTACTTTCTCTGACTCATATTCCGGGTGATTCTGACCCAGAATCATTGTCAACATTTTAATTTTGACCCAGAAAAGTGTCAGGCCTCATAAAACCCGGATTCCTGGTTAAATCTGTCCAGGAACTTTTCCGAATGTAACTTGATACTTGCTTGTTGCGTAAAGTTACGTCTCCATCAAGGATTTTGGAGTTAATAGGCCCTATAACACTTGCAACAGTGGTAAAAGATGTTGCATATAGGCCTACTGTTGCATTTAGCAGACGACTTCAGTTGCTTCACCCATATACATGCTACCTAGTTGCCCATGCTCCGTTGCATTAATAGCAGGGCTACTGCTCGTGGTGCCAAGGCTGGCACACAATATTATTACAACAAAATGTTGCATTTTGTTGCGTTAAGCAGGGTTCTTTTCCAGCTGTGCTTGATTTGATTGCATTTAGCATGGTACCTGAAGAGTGCCTGTGTGGGTTAGGGTTCAGAGTCTACATTTTGGTTACTGAAACACACAACAGAATCTGGGATGGGTAATCACCTTCGTAGCAGCCCGACGAGGCGTCATCTCCGCCGTCCAACGCGCCGTTCTGCCCCGCTCCGTCACCCAGCGAGGCCGCGTCGCCGAAGTCCGGCACGTGCTCCAGGTTGAGCAGGTGCGAGACCGAGAAACTCCGGGCGGACGCCTGGTGGTGGTGGTGATGGTGCTGCTGATGCACGGCCAAGGCGTGGTCGGACAACACGGTCTGCTGGACGGAGTTGTCGTAGTCCGTAACCTGCGCCATCAAATCCTCATTGCGGTCCATAGCTGTGCCGTTCCTGTCTTTTCTGATTCACCAGTACCGCCAAAAATATCCCAAATCCACCAAGTTCAGTGACCAACTCCTGTGGCGAATTGCGCTATATTCGCAGTACGCGTGTTGGTATACGGTTTGGCTTCAGTGGTCGTAGTGCGAAACTGTGCCGAAAAAAATAGGACAATAAAATAACGAAATACTTGCTTGGATTTTCCGCCGAGTTGGTTGCCGAAATTCACGTCTGTAGGACACCAAAATAATTCTTGAATGAGGCCTCAAAAATACGGTGGAAAGTTCACTAAAATCTTCTGGTCGAGTAAGGTTTTCGTCGTTTCCTCGTCTTTCTTAAGCTGCAAATGTCAACGATGATCTCGTAAAAAAATCGATCGATGTCTCGTAGAAATGTTTCTTTATAATCTCGTCCTCTGGTAGCTCCGATACAGTTTCAGAGTGATGTTTCCATGGGTTTGCTGCCGAGGCTATTTCTAGGTAGCTTCTTTCTGAAGAAGGGCCGAATTTCACTCTGTTGCCAAAATTGTGTCTGTCCAGTGATCCCACGTGGGTTCAGTAGCTCAACCGCTTCGTCTGCTGACAGCTCATATCGTCATAGAAACTCCAGTCGCCGCATAAAACGATACTCCAAACCCATTGACAATTAAGTGCCCGTGTGACCTCCGAGCAGCGAAGTGCAACTCGATAATTTGCCCAGCTGGCACGACCGTCTCGTATAAGTAGGGGGGAAAATCCCCAAGCTATAAAGAAAAATCCCGGTTACAACCCGCGAGAGGTGATACCAGACCACAAGAACACTAAACGGATTTTGTTTTGGTGGTGGATACTTTCCAGGGCTTGTATTGGTAAAAACCAGTTTGTGTGATACAGTGACGTATTTGCATCGCGCGCGCGCTTAATTCCCTCACTCACACATCGCCCCGCCTGATTGGCCAGTTCGGCGCGTAGATGCTAATGAGCTCGTAGATCCTCCACCAATGAGAATCGGATCTGGCAGCTGTGGCGTAATGCAACACGCGCTGTTAAAGCTGCGCATGTGCCAACACGTATTAGCGCCTGACACCTTAAATGTCTCGATCGTGTAATTAAATTACAATGTGGTCCCGCACGCTTTCCTGAGCCTCACACCCTTCAGAAATAATTCGACTGCGGGGGATGCTAAACCCGTTTGACTTTATCAGCACTTCCATTAAACCTAGGGCGTTTGGGGAGGTCTTATGTAATCATGTCACTAGCCGGCAGACCCGGCACGAAAGCCGGCCCGAAATCCCTCACTTCGACAAGTTGGAGTTTTATCAAATCTCTATTTGGCTGACTCATTGTAGACAAAGTGCAAGTTGTGTTTTAGTGACTGTGACGATTAGAATTGAAAACCGATTTCAAACCCCGATATTTTTTACAAACATATATACAAGATCATATGCATTTCTCCCAAAAGTAACATATAATAATAATTAAACACCCTGTGAAATTGTTGCGTCTGGCTTGCTGACATTTAGAAGAAATCTAGAAATGTCGTTGATTTCCTACAATCAGTCAATAATTTTGGAACAAAGAGTGCGCTGACGAAATCGTGTGTCTTGATCGAAAGGTTGTACATTATTTTTCACTCGAAAAGTGTCATATCCACTGAGCTGAAACCTCAACAGGTCAGGTTTTGACCATTCTTCTTTTGATTTTGAGTGGTGTTATTATTGGAATCGAACAAATCGCATGGAAAGCAAATGATCCTATAGTGAGCACGGACATCCGGGATTTTTTTTACATTGCCTTATCTGGCTCCCAGACCTATGCTCTTGAAACTCAATGGTTCTTGAGTGAGGAGTGCTGAATGTTAACACTTAGCAACCAATGAAAACTGGATTGCAGATGAATATTTTCATCGGATGACGTAAGCCCGCCCCACCTTTAAGCCTATGCTTCTTTGCAGAATTCTTTAGCGTCAATGGTATTTAGGGGGCGCCCCGCCCCCCTTCGCAATGAGGTACAAGAATTGCGTAGCCTATTTCGTGCATGATCTTATTTTGTGTGTGTGTGTAGGGTTTAAGCAATCGACACCATGCATGAGACACTGACATGATGATGTTGCACTTGTGGCGTGTGCCACGGGCGGTAATTCCCCTTAATCGCGTAATACCCTTCAAGTGCAATACTTCATGTCAAACGGATATTGGCAAGACATGAATAGATGCTGGCCGTCACTTATGTGATGATCCCTAGCTCCGATCTGGACGCGTCGACAGGGTTGCAGTTTGCTTAAAACATTCGTCAATTAACGCCTCTGCTGTCTGAACTTTCATGGAACTTACGAAATGAAGGATCGGACCGACGGTGGTGTCTTGTATAACTCAATGGATATTTCAATAAACTGGATATCAGTGGCCGTTACAGGGGTCTAATTCGCAATAAAAAAAATTTAAAATAAAGTGAAGCAACTGTTGTCAGCGGCGTATCCAGTGGGGTTGGGGGGGGGGAGACTTCCCCTCCCCTGGCTGATTTATTTTATTTATTTATTTTTTTTATATCTATTTCCACAAATGGTATAGAGAGGTCTGACATGAACGACAAATATAGAAAACAAAAAAAAATTGCAATGCGTCAAAAATGTCAGCAACAGAAAGTGGCAGTACGTATGTTTTGGAAGCCTAAGACTTTTGTATTTGCCAGCATCCCCCCCCCCCACCCCTCCTGACATCAAACGCTGGATATGCTGCTGACTATTGTTATTATTAAAACACCAAAAAATAAGTTAATAATAAACATAACAAAACAAACTAAAAAAAAACCAAACATTCCTTTAAAACCTTAAATTTGTCCAGAAATGTTTCAGCAGCAGAAGTGTGAAATTAACCTCGCCCTTAAGTAACTGATCTTCACATAAAGTGGTGCGATCTTCTATTTTTTTCCCCTACAAATATTATTTTTTGTTTGATCGCCCATTCACAGCCTTATAGCCACAGCAAACCACGAGAGCGACCTCTCGTGTTGGAGAAAAACTTTTATTTGTTTTACCCTGGGAAAGACGCTAGAGGGCGCAAGACAGCTTAGCAAATAAACAAGTTTCAGAAACTTGTCGGGCATGTGTCGATGTAGGTGCGGACTTTGATTTGTGGTTTCAATATTGTCTATCATATATACCGGTATTGTAGTTGTTTTCCTGGACTGGGGGTGGTCTTTCATATGAGTTGAATTTCCGAGGGTGGTCAGACCGAAATGGTTGGGATTTTTATCTTATTGTAAACTGTAAAGTCGAAAGTTCAAGTGACCAGTGGTGCATTGTACAGTGGAGTGTAGCCCGACTGCGTGCCGTACAGTACTATCGCAAGCTCTGTAGTACGGCCAGACGCTGAATGCTTCCAAAAAGACTGAATTTTATTGGCCGCTGATGTAGCGATTTTGCTACATCTTTTGATCGAGATTATCTTTTCATCCAGGACAACAATTTCCACAGTTAAGGTTCTTAGTCGTAGAGCAACTCATGCTCATACCTTTTCGAAAAAACGTTCTTTGGTCTCAATATTTTCATCCATCTGGCCAAAAGACGACTTTCAGTCATCATCTTCCACAAATATCGTCCCGAAAATGCTCCCCCATGCGATTTCAAAATGGCGGCCGCGCTGTAACTCATGAATATGCATGAAAAGTCTGTGACGTATGACCTCATGTTTTTGGACGTGCGTGCGGCGGCGCCGTACGTACACGTACGTACATGTACATTACTTGTAGACAACAGCCCAGTTCGTGCATGCACACGTACGTCCGCGCGGCGATATGTACGTACGGCGCCGCCGCACGCACGTCCAAAAACACGAGGTCATACGTCACAGACTTTTCATGCATATTCATGAGTTACAGCGCGGCCGCCATTTTGAAATCGCATGGGGGAGCATTTTCGGGACGATATTTGTGGAAGATGATGACTGAAAGTCGTCTTTTGGCCAGATGGATGAAAATATTGAGACCAAAGAACGTTTTTTCGAAAAGGTATGAGTTGCTCTACGACTAAGAACCTTAACTGTGGAAATTTTAGTCCTGGATGAAAAGATAATCTCGATCAAAAGATGTAGCAAAATCGCTACATCCGCGGCCAAAAAAATTCAGTCTTTTTGGAAGCATTCAGCGTCTGGCCGTACTACAGAGCTTGCGATAGTACTGTACGGCCAGACGCAGTCGGGCTAAGTGGAGTGGTACAGCGGCCAAATAGCCACTGCCTTTTTTTAGTTGTGAGTTAAATAAACAACTTTGTATTCTCTTACTGTGGTTTGAAAGCACACTGCTACGATTTCGATTCAATAAGACGTTTTCACAGTTCGCATCATGGCGTCAGAAACGGGATCCGACTTGGACTGCGATGTCGTCATCATTGGGGCGGGTTTATCCGGCCTGACTGCAGCGTACACCCTTCTCAAGCACGACAGCAACTTGAAACTTAGGATTCTTGAAGCAAGCGGTGAGAAAGTTTTCGCTGGCTCCAGAGAGGAGGCCAGTTTTATGTCCTCTTTGCGCCTCACTGCCTGACTGACTGATTGACTGACTCACCTCTTTTGACGCCAGAGGGCGTTGTTTTTTCTTTCCTATTTATTCACATTCATATACCCGCAGCGTCAAGGGAATAATGGGAGTAGAATCAAGTAAAAAATGATTAATTTTCCTACTCTTCTGTTTTATTTGTATAGAAATTTGATGTGACGTTTTCCCACCAACAGATCGCATTGGAGGGCAAATATTGACGAAGGAACTAAAGTGTGGCAATGGGGAGACCGACCAGTTTGACTTTGGAGCTGTTTGGATTCACAAGTAAAATACTTGGTCTTTTGAGTGAAATTTATTTTGCCAGTCATTTCAATAAAAAAAAATTACATTTTCTTTTTATGGAAAGATTTCCATAAATTATACGAAGTTCACTAATTTTCCTCTGTATTGACTAACAAGCCCCCAGATAGCAATTTCATGTCATCAAAGTCAATTTGAGCAGTGAGAAAATACAAGCATTTTCTTAGAAAACACTTGGAATTTTTCAGTCCAATCTCATAGGGTTTGTACACAGGGTGTTGAGTGAACTTCGTATATGGAAATCTTTCCCTTTTTAAAATTTTTTTTAATTCAGGTACCAATCTTGGGCCAAATTTATAACGTTGCTTAGCCCTAACCCTCCTTAATCCACCAAAATGAGGCGGTTTTGGAGGATTTTGGAGGATTGAGGCTGTATGGCCAAAACAAAAGTTAATGATGATGGATTGTGGATTGTGGATAGTTCATATATGCTGTTTCAAGCAGCCTTGCGTAATTGAGCCCTGCATTGTGCTCGATATCATCCGCACTGCTTCTGAATGTCATCCGCACTGCCTCAACCCATTAAGACAGTGATTGTTGGAGGATTTTCAAGGATTGAGGCAATGGTCATGCCTCCAACATGTCCAATGAACAAATTCAAGAAATAACGGATGATGAGGCTAAATCCAATTTTTTTATATGGTAGCGATTGGAGAAAAAATTGCTAACCTTATTTCATGGCGTGGATGTGAACGGTCGTGCGCAGCTGGAAATCGTCACTGATTTAAGCAATTTTTTCCTCTGGCGTTAAAGAGGTTGTGGAATGCTCGAAGACGTTTCCATCATTTTTCGGGTATATGTAGCCTAAGGTGTGATGAAATAAAAACGACTATTGTTTCTGTCATGAAATGAGTACAAAAGGTACTTTTGAGAGCTGTTTTTCATGTCCAGTTTCGACCCGAATGTGCAACTGTGTAAAAGTCGTCGTTGCGGGCAGCAAACAAAACACAGTAAATCGTGACGTAATAAACAGGACTCCCGATGCACAGTAGCATACACGAGTCCTGTTTATTACGTCACGATTTACTGTGTTTTGTTTGCTGCCCGCAACGACGACTTTTACACAGTTGCACGTTCGGGTCAAAACTGGACCTAAAAAACAGCTCTCAAAAGTACCTTTTGTACTCATTTCATGACAGAAACAATAATCGTTTTTATTTCATCACACCTTAGGCTACATATACCCGAAAAATGACGGAAATGTCTTCGAGCATTCCACAACCTCTTTAAGCATGCTTTAGCTGTGCTTACTGCTTACGGTCTCCATGAAGTAGCCAAATCTGTGTTAGCAGAAAACTGCGGGCTAATAGCAGCTTTAACCCTAACCTTCCCAACTCCATCAAAATCCATCATAATCATGGAGTATGATGGAATTACGCCTGAAGGCCTATTAAAAGCAAAGCATGCATTGGAAGCAGTGTGATTGATGGATTTTGGCAGACTTGGTCCAGTACTTGGTAAAAGACAGTAGGGAGTTAAAGAAGTGCTGCGCCCTCATTTTCTTGTTTTCCGCATTTCGTTAGAGACCAGAAAGAAATCAACGCCCTCCTAGCCGAGCTGGATATCCAGAAATACCCGCAGTACGAGAAAGGCAAGAATTACATGGAACTGCTCGACGGCAAAGTCAAATCCTACTCGGGGGACAACATGCCGGTTGGCATCAAAGACAAACTGGATATATACTCCTATTTCTCCAAGGTAAGCCATTGGTGTGCATGACACTGCTCCGCCAAAGTGAGGAATAAGCGCATGAAACTGTTTTATCAAACTAAGGAATACGTTTAGTTGCTAATATCTCTTTGCCTGCCTTGGTCTTCATCAGGTCTCCTATTTTACCCACTAGATCTTTTCCCTCTTAGGCCGAGAGCGCGTCCAAGGCCGTCAATCTAGAGAACCCACAGCTCTCCGTTAACGCAGCGGATCTCGACGGAACAAGCGTGGAGGATTTCCGCAAGAAAACAGTGTGGACAACGGGTCAGTTTATAGATTTACAGAAAATTGAAACGTGATTCAGCGATAGATACTTGGACCCAAAATAAACACGTGGCCTGATGCCAATCTTGGAAATCAGGGGAAATCTTGAAAAAGGTTTCCAATTTTTTTCCGTCAGGGAAAATTGTGCCTTTGATAATACAAGCATGGCATTTGGCACACAGTCAGAGTATGTCTATTAAAGCTACAGTCAATCATTTGCAGCTATCCAAAAAGCAACTGACGTAATTATTGTTGAAAAACATACTTGGTTGAAAGATAGTAAGGGGACTAAACTCCCTGTGAAGTGTATTCTGTATTGCATGCTGTCATTTTGAAGAAATCAACGGAATAAGGCCTTTCTAACAGTGTGTCTAAAGACACATCGTTGGAAATTTCCATTAGTAATTCCTTTTATTCGGCAAAGCTCACGCAAGCGTTAATTGACATGACGCAGACATGCGTGCGATTGCTATAATTCGTCGGATCAGCTGGTGCGCGACATCACGAAGCTGAAATTCAGCTCGGTGAGAACGTGTCTCGGACGCTGAATTCAGGCCCAGTTCAAATCATGATTCAGCAACTTTGGATTTGAAATCGAGATCCTAGAATGTTGTTATCTTGAAATATACAGCTGAAGCTGAGCTGAAACCTCCACAGGTTAGTTGTACTTCAGATTTTTAGCACTTTAGTCACTCCAAACGAACAAAATGCACAACATACCGATGATGGACGGTACCTTTAAGAAAGATATCTGGCTATGGGGCTATCGCAGATTCGACCTTTGAAAAATAATAGGTAGAATAATGAGCAATTTTCCAAATTTTCAAAATGGATGCCATTGCGTGTTATTCTACCAATTTTTTTTTTCAAAGGACAAATCTGTGATGGCCCTTTTGCCAAATGTCTTTCTTATTCTGACTGTGTGCCAAATGCAATGCTTGTATCATCAAAGGCACAATTCCATCACCTAACTGCTGAGCTGTAAAAAAAAAATACATGTATGTCAAAAAAAAGTCTGCATTGTCATTTTGTTGCATCTAATAACATAGGCGGAGGGGATTTAGCGGACATGATGGCAACGATCAACCACACCATGGCCCCAGCGCACATCTCCAAGATGGAATACCTCTATGTCATGAAGTCCTGTGGCGGCTATGAAGCACAAATGGGCGGCGACGGGTCGGACTTTAGGGTTGAGGTATGTGTGATTGTCTTGTGATTGTCTTGTGATTGAGTTATGATTGTCTTGCGATTGACTTGCGATTGTCTTGCGATTGACTTGCGATTGACTTGCGATTGACTTGTGATTGGCTAGTGATTGTCTTGTGATTGACTTGTGATTGTGTTGTGATTGACTTGTGATTGTCTTGTTATTGACTTGTGATTAATTTGTGATTGTGTTGTGATTGGCTTGTGATTGGCTTGTGATTGTCTTGTGATTGACTTGTGATTGTGTTGTGATTGACTTGTTATTGACTTGTGATTAATTTGTGATTGTCTTGTGATTGGCTTGTGATTGTCTTGTGATTAATTTGTGATTGTGTTGTGATTGAACGACTTGTAATGTCTTTTCAAAATTTGACGTACAACTCTGCCAGTTGTTGTACTTGTACAAATGTATATATTTTCTCATAGAAATTCTCAATTTCACCACTGACTTTCCTATTTCTGGGATACAATTTGTAGAAAATGTGTGTTTTGGATATAACTGTACCAAGGTCTGCTATTTTACATAATAAATATAAAATAGAAACATCTTCTTTTTTTCCCAAGGGCGGAATGTTTCAAATTTGCCAGAAACTCGTTACACACATCGGAGACGAAAATATCCACACTGGTGAGAAGGTTGTCAGTATCGTCCAAGAAGACGGACAACAGAGGGCGCTTGTCAAAACGCAGAGCGGCAAGGTGGTGTCTACTAAGCATGTTGTCGTCACAGTGCCGCCGAGCAATATTGGTACGTCAAAGTGAAAGATGGACTCTTCAGGATCTGGCTATAAGTTCGCCCCCAATCCCCGCCCACAAGCCCTTCCCACAAGCCCCGCCCACCTTTGGTTTGTGGACATTTCTCACAGTGCTTGGTCAGCTGGGAAGGGTCGATTGGGAAACTACAAATTTGCACAGAAAAGTTGTTAAAAACTTTACTAAGCACCACACAAATTTTGCTTCAGAAAAGTTGGGTTACCAGCCAAGAATTCACATGATACGCATTCCTTGTGACTGGTACTCCACTAATTTCTGCAATAAATTCTACATAGCCGTTGCACTTTACCAGGCTATTTGTATTGTTTATCACCCATTTCAGTTGGAATGATTAACTTTTTCATCCTGATTAGTTTTTAGGCCAAAAAAAAAAGGCTCCGGTTTCTGGTATGCGCGCGCGTCGCCGTAGCCATGCGCGTCGGCAAAATGAAAAAGTTTTTTTTTCAATGAAAGATGATGTCTCAAAACCGCCAAACTCACTGGTTTGACTGGAATCCTGCTGCTGCACAATTTTAACGTGTTTTTAGATTGGGTTATGGTCGAGAATAAGCTTTATGTGGCCTCTCTGGACTCCCATAATATTTGCACTAAGTTTAGTCGGGCACCATTTGCAGTCATCAGCCGACATTTGAAGCAAAAAATCAGGTAAAAAAAAAAAAAGCCGCGTCGCCGCACTACTTTTTGGGCAAGCTCCATACCAGAAACCGGAGACTTTTTTTTTTTGGCCTTAGCAGCTAATCTTTCATTTTATTGGAAGAAATTGTAAAAATTACTGTGTTTGTGAAACCCATTAAGTCCTATATTGGGAGAAGTGCCTTCACTTTGGAAGAAAGTCCTCAAGAAATGCTTTTATTTTGAGTCTGTTCAAAGATTGGGTGTTCCGGCAAATTTCCCTCATTTGGGCTGATTCCATCACTTTTTTCTTACATTATAATAATTTGTTTACCCTTCACAGTTGACATTGAGTTTACTCCACCATTTTCTATCGAGTTTCCTCCCCCATCCTACTCCCTTGGAACGATAAGTTTTGTTGCGACGTACGGTCAGGTAGGTAAAGCACACTGCATTAGTCTAAGCAAATTTAACAAAGGAATTTATGTAATTGGAAAGAAAAATTGGTCGTGAATTTTGATTGACTTGTGATTTACCTTTGATTGACAAGTGATTAGCTTGTGATATGACTTGTGGTTGAAATGTGATTGGCATGTGATTGACGTGATCGTCATGTGAATATTATTGTTTGCATGTTATTGACACATGATTGAGTTGTGATTGACTTGTGATTGGCACATCATTGACTTGCGGTTGACATGTGATAGACTTGTTTTTGACATGTGATTGATGCAATTGGCATGTGACTGGAATATTATTTGCGTGTCATTGACACATGATTAACTTGTGGTTAACATGAAATTGACTTATGATTTTGATTGGTATACATGTATGAATGACTTATGATCGACAGGTGATTGACTTGTGTTTGGCACAGATTGACTTATGATTGACTTTGTGATTGACACATGATTGACATGTGATCGGCATGTGACTAACATGTGACTAACATAATGTTCTGTTCATTGCAGCCGTTTTGGAGGGACGCAGGATTCTCCGGCCAACATATGAGCATGTTGTCAATCCTGGCGCAGATCAGGGAACTTCCCCAGGCAGGGCCACTCACCATGGTCATGGACGGAGTGTCCAGCAAGGGCCACGCAGCGCTGTTTGGGACCCTAGCAACCGGCAACCTAAAGAATCTAACATTGGTGACTGACAAGCTGAAAACTGTAAGGACCTCATGGCAGAGAAATCAAGATTGATATAAAATTTTAGTCAAGTCAATTGCAAGTCATTTAAAAGTCCGCTACGAGTCGGCTACAAGTTGGTTATCATAAATCAGTCAAAAGTCAGTCTGAAGAAAGTCACTTGTCAGTCATAATTTGGTTATGAGCCAATCACAAGTCAGTCACAAGTCAGTCACAAGTCAGTCACAAGTCAGTCACAAGTCAGTCACAAGTCAGTCACAAGTCAGTCACAAGTCAGTCACAAGTCAGTCACAAGTCAGTCACAAGTCAGTCACAAGTCGGTCATGTCATTCATAACTGAGTCACGAGTCAGTGATGAGTTGGTCGCAAGTCAATCACAAGTCTGACATGATCATGATCAAGCAGAAAGCTATATTAAACTACTAGAGCGCTAACTCATTGTACAAATAAAGCCTGCTGGGCGCATCCATGTTTGTGCCCAAACCTATGGAAAACATGAAATTAAGTACGGCTTTTTGGTACGGCTATATGCATATCTGCGTTTGTATTCTATACCAGTGCGTTATCCGAACCGATTCACCCAAAACCCGAAACGCACGATCAGTAAATGAGCATTTCATTTTGCAAACTTACACCAACCAATTTTTGCTATGACGTCTTTTTTAATGGTCATGCTTACAGAAAACTCACTTACATATATTAAAAAGCTTTTAATTGACAAATTCTTACATTTGCAGATGGATGAACGTAAGGCAGTTGTGCTGACCAAGCTGGCCGAGATCTTCGGACGGCAAGCTGAGCAAGCTATTGATTATGCTGACCATGTAAGCATTATAGACTGACCATGTAAGCATTATAGACTGACCATGAAAGCATTATAGACTGACCATGTAAGCATTACAGACTGACCATGTAAGCATTATTGACTGACCATGTAAGCATTATAGACTGACCATGTAAGCATTACAGACTGACCATGTAAGCATTATTGACTTCAGCAATGCTAATGTACTTTGCAGATACCCGAAACTGTCGGGTTTGAATCTACGCTTTACTAATACAATAGCTTTATGCCTACTTTATTGCATTATTTGGCATTTCACACGATCTTTAACTTATCTGAAGAAAAAAATTATTAGATTTTGTATAATTTACATTAACACCTTGGATTCCTTTTTTTGAACACCCTGTATGTATCACGTTTTTACAGGTTTGGGAGCCGGAGGAGGGGGTTCAAGAAATGAGTAAATTCATGGATGAATGTGTGTTTTTCAATCAGTCATCTGGCAGGTATGAATAGGTTTTTTTTATAAAAAGAAAAATGTAAAAAGGTTACTTGAATTTTATTTTTTTTAAGGGGTCTGTTGGAATTTATGAAATACGGGAGAATGACAAATGGTTAAAATTGAAAAATGTAAAAAAATAAGATAGGAACCAGTTGATTTTTGTTGCTGGAAATTTGTTTAATGTTTTTTTAAAGTAAAATTGCATCTTGTAGCTGCCTAGCGCCAAATTGGCAGCATGGAGCTGTATACTCTCCAGGGAGCTGAGATGGTATTTGGAATGTTTCATGGGCCCAATGATCAGGGGTAATAATGATGTAAAGCGCTCTGATCTTAGTTAAAAGCACCATATAAGAACCTGTTATTATTATTATTATTATTATCATGGACCGATAAAGATCGATTACATTCGTCCAACTTTGTGAGACTAGCGTGTGGTTTGAGTAATTATCGAGATATGGTTATTACTGTGGTTCTCATTCAAACATTCAATGTCATGCAGATATGTTGATTTTCCAGGGTGCATTGGGCGGGGGCTCACGTCTCCCCCTCATGGGCAGGAACCATGAATGGAGCAGTGCATTCTGGGATACGTGCGGCCAACGACATCATCGAGCAGATGAAGTAAACATTCGTAAGATAGCGTCACGTTTTGTACAGATTTGTAATTGAGGTATTGGATCACAAGTCCATCACAAGGCCATCACAGTCCCAAGTCAAGTCACAGGTTATTGAGCTTTGACAAAGGCATTCCTTTGTTGTTGTTCATCCACTGTTACTTGTGGCTGGACTTGTGAATTGATTTGTGGTGCACTTGTCACAAGGGCGAATCCAGAGTACTGTTGCGTATCGCATCAGGTTGACCAGCACTCGATTTCACGAAGCGCTGCGACACGTCGCAACTCGTGTTACGACGTGTAACACGTCGCAACTCGCGACGCGTCGTATCTTCCATTTCACGAAAGTTGCAATGTGTTGAACGCGTCGTAAGTTCCTTGACAACAGCTTAAAACACGTCGCAAGTTAAGACGTGTCTAGTGGTCGTCGCAAAATAAGAAGAGTCATTTCTAAGTCAGTTTTATGCCATAAACATTACATTAACGAGATTATAATACCGAGGCAATGTGTGTAAAGTTGTAAATAGAAAATTCACTGAATAATTATGAATTAGACCGGAATATTAGAATAGAAATTTAAAAGTAGCTATACAGTTCAATGAGAGTTTGTTTTCCTTCAAAATTGCATCGCACGGCCGCCATTTTGTTTTACGTTTTAACAAATTTCGAGCTGAGATCCGACGACTCTTTGTTGAATATCAGACGACTATTTACTGTACGCTGACTAAATACATAAAACAGTCACCGAGTTGTGCTATAAATACACCTACGACGCGTCGCAGTTACGACGTGTTTTGTGAAATAGATCGCAGGATGCGTCGCAGCTGCGACGCATCGTAGAGATACGACGCGTCGCATCGCTTCGATGCATCGTAAGTTACGAAGAGTTTGATGAAATCGGGTGCTGGCCAAACGGACCCGAAACATTCCGAAAACGATCTGAACACCCGAAATTCGACCCAACACGACAAAATTATGTTCAAGGAAAACCGACCCGAAACCGAACACACTCGAAAAAAAACAACGAATATCTGGCTTGGGCAACTGTCTCCACTTTTTATGCCTGAATTTACCTGCGTTGCGTGAAAATTGTCAACCCTCAGTTTGGGGTGGGGGGTGCCCCCTCCATACGTCCCCTGAATCCGCGACTGCTCCTGATCCATCGAAGTTGCTGGTTATTTTTATTCACTTTTCAAAAAAACTTTATATGTTTTTTTTTTGATTGACAAAAGACTCTGTCTTAAATACTTGCTGTATTAAAAAATCATGCTCATACAGATTGCATATTAACTTAATAGACAAAGAATTGAGTATACAAAGATTTAAGTGTTCTAATATTAGGCCAAAAAAAAAAATAAGTCGGTCTCTGGTCAGCACGCTCGTCGGTTTTAATCATGCGCGTCGATCTTTTTTTATTCCAAAAATGTTCCGCGGTAGCTCCAACAGCGCCCTCTATTTCCGCACCTCCTCATTTTTTTTTACCAAAGAACACCAAGGAATGGGAAATTGCACCAAGGCAAATGATCGAAAGCACCAAGGCAAATTATGGAGGACACCAAGGCAAATTATGGAGGACACCAATGTACATGAGGACACCAAAAAAGCAAAATAGTACCCCACCTTGTCTGTACAATCCAAGCTTGAAGAAAAAAAAAAAGCAAAAAAAAAAAAAAAAAGCCGCGTGGCCGCGTCAATTCCGGAACTTTGGTCTGACCAGAGACCGAATATTTTTTTTTTGCCTTAAAAGAACAATTCTGTTTTTGAAACAGACAAAATCACATGGTAGATTGTGTTGTTCTGAATTGAATATACAAAAACCTCTGCAATATGTTGTTCAAAAATTTCTGAAAATATGCTGTAGGCCTACCAAAGAAGTTTTTGCTAAAGATTCTTTTAAAAATCATTGGAATAATTAAATAATTATAAGAATATAATATCTCGATTCGAAAAATTGCTGTGTAATTTATTCAATTGAAAATACATATTTTTGATAATTTATTTTATTTTTCTAAAGTTGTGCAAAAATAGAATTTGTTGATTGAAACTAAAATAAAAAGACACAAAGTGAATAGAATATTGAGCCTACTAGAAATACCTTATTGCATTATTTATGTTTTCTGAAAATCCACTAACTTTAATGTCTTTCTTACTAAAAAAATCAAGAAATGTGTTGGCTTTGATAATCACTCTTGAGGGCGCTATTCATAAACAGTAGCGCGGAAAGCAACCTCGTGCCCCGTGGGTACGATCTTGCAGCGCCATGTTGTTTCCCATCATGCCTTGCGCGATCGTAACCCCTGGAATTGTGTAATTTAAATATACCAAAATACGGTACATTATAATTAGGGCTGCAGTTTATCCGTTTTACGTGCCGATGCCATCTTTAAAATGTAAAAAGTTATGATTTTGAAGAATCAATCCTTTCAAACTCAACGTTTGGACGTTGTGTTAATTAGCAAAGATTTGTATTAAATGTACGTACCCCTTTCGTGCCTTTACAACCACAGATACAGGATTTTTTTTAGCGAAAAACGCGGCTGACATAATCCATATCGTCCTGTTCAGGGCGGGAAGGCCGGAAGGACCGCTCCGGGTGGTCGCGGCCCCCCGGCCCCCCTGACGACACTGGACTTACCCGTCTTCTTAGTGGCGGTGGCGACGGGGACCGTCCTGCCGGACCACACCGTCCGAATGGAGGTGGGTCTGGGGTCCCCTGCCGGGAGAGATGAGGCGGGGACGGGGCCTGTCCCATGTCGTCGTCACTGGCGTGCACCTCCAGCGCATCGGCCTCCGCCATCACCACGGCCACGCTGTCCCCTTGGCAGAAACGGTGGTGTCCGGCGCGGACATCGGCCCTAAAAAACCGAACTCCGCACCCTCTATGGCAGGGGTATGGGCGCTCCGGGTGGAGCGCCACACACGCGGTGTTTAGGTGCCTCCGCAAATTCCTCCTCCTCCCGAACGTCTGGTCACAGTGCGGGCAATGAATCAGGGCCTGGTCCATCCTGCAGGGAGAAGAAAGAGAAGAGCATTTAGTTATTTGTTGGCAATAACGGCTTGGTCGGATTATCTTCCGGCCACCCCAGGTGACTCTTTCAGGAGCCAGCGCCGATGGTGGCGAAGAGGGCTGTCCCCCTTCGGGCCCGGCCAATTCCGTATTGGATCCGGCGTCCTCACTGCCCGGTCCTTCTGGGGCGGCAGCCGCCGTCGCCTCCGGTGGCAGTGTCCCCTTCCCCGTCTGAACTGGTAATGGTCCCTCCTCGGCTAACTGACCACCCACCCCGGCCGGTGGGTCCTCCCGGGTAGTGTCAGTCAACGGACTCGGTGGTAGCGTCACCTCCTGGTCTTGGGTTGGTGGCGGTCCCCCTTTTGGCAGGTTCTGCGCTACGCGCCTCCACCAGTCCACTTCGGCGTCGCCCAGATACGGCTTAAGCCGGTTGGAATGAACCACCTTGGCTTTGGCTCGAGGGGACTTTTGCACACGGAACGTGACATCATCGATCTTCTGTGTCACCACGAAGGGCCCGTCCCACCAGCACTGCAACTTTGGCGTGCGACCTACTTTCTTGGAGGGGGTATACAGCCACACAGGTTGGCCAGGCTTGTAGCTGGCACTTTCTGCTCGACGATCGTAATGTCGCTTTTGATATGTTTGGCTCTTCTTCAGATGATGACGGGCAAACTCGTGGGCACGCTCTATCTTTGTCCTCAACCCCTCCACATATTCGTGCTCCGCTGCGCCTGCCTTAGGTTTTCCGGCTGGCCCACCACCAGGTCCAACGGAAGTCGTACCTCTCGGCCGAACATCAGCATGTTTTGCGTGAATTTTGTGCTGTCGTGCTGGGAGGAGCGGTACGCCATCATCACGTACGGTAGGTGTTCGTCCCAATCGTCCTGGTTCTCATGAACAAACAGGCTCAGCATCGTCTTGACTGTGCGGTTGAACCACTCCACCATCCCGTCGGACTGGGGGTGGAACGGCGTGGTGCGGGTCTTTTGGACGCCGAGCAGCTTACAGGTGCCCTGGAAGAGCTCGGCTTTGAACTCCCTCCCTTGATCCGTGTGGATCTCGAGGGGAGCTCCAAACCGGGTGATAACCTGTTCGACAAGGACTCTGGCGACCGTCTGAGCAGTCTGGTCCGGGATCGGAAACGCCTCTACCCACTTCGTAAAGTAGTCGGCTACCACCATGATGCTAGAATTCCCTGTCCTCGTCCTCGGGAGTCGACCTGTGAGGTAGATCGTGAGGCGCTCCATCGGAGCCCCTACCAGGTACTGTTGAAGTGGGGCCTCGAGAGGTCGAGGAGGTGACTTCTTGGACCCACACTTGTGGCACTTTTGACACCACTCTTCTGCCTGGCGTCGCATCCCCCTCCAGAAAACCGGAGCCTGTCTCAGCCGTGCGATGGTCCGGGTGATCCCCAAATGTCCTGAAGTCCTATTGTCATGCGTTAGTCGCAAGACGTCGTCTACTTTCACTCGTGGTACCACGACCTTCCATACCGGTGGTTCGCCATTGGGCTGCTCCCACTTCACCTGCAATACACCTTGGGACAGCTGCATTGTCTCCCACTTAGCCCACCAGTACTTCGGGCCTTCACCCAGCGCCGAGACGTCCCGCCAGCTGGGTTTGGGGACCCCGTCCCCCAGCCACTGCACGATCCTGTCCAGTTCAGGGTCACTCTGTTGTTCCCGTTTGAGTTCCTCTTGGTCCCAGGCTTTCAGGAGTCCCTCCGTGGTGGTGGCTTCATCCTGCCCAGCCCCCGCAACGGCTCCCACCAGCACCTCCCTTGGTTGCGCCTTCCCGCCATTTGTGCGACTGGCTCTACTGCAAGTCAGCGTCCCGCCGAGCAAGGGGACCTTCTTTAGTAAAGCATTCCTGACTTGCTTCCTTGGATCGCCCACACTGGCCACACGGGATTCTAGAGACGGCGTCGGCGTTCGTGTGCTTCCTACCCGCCCGATGTTCCACATCGAACTCGTAGCACCCCAGCCTCTGAATCCACCTGGCCGTCTGCCCCTCGGGTTCGCGGAAGTTGAACAGCCATCGCAGCGACCCGTGATCTGTTCTGAGCAGGAAATGTTTACCAAGAAGGTAATGTTTGAAATAGTGAACGTAATAGACCAAGGCCAGCAACTCTCTCCGAGTGGTACAGTAGTTGCGTTCGGCCTTAGACAGGGTGCGGCTGCCATAGGCAACCACTCGTTCACCATCGTCTGCGACAGCACTGCTCCGATGGTGCAGTAGCTGGCATCTGTGTCCAGGACGTAGCGATGTGTCGTATTCGGATAACACAACACGGGTGCTGTGGTCAATGCGTCCTTGAGGTGCTCCAATGCTGACTGGCCAGCACTCGACCA